TGGAGGAGTATGTGGAGGAGGCGGATGCCAAGCGGCTGGCCATGGCCGGGCAGGTAAGGGATGCTGGGGGGGTGACCGCTGCTGGGAGGCCTGTTTTGTGGAGGCTCGCAGCCCGGCTTCTGCACCCTGGGCTGTCTCCCTCGTGCCACGCCGCCGTCTGTGACTCCCGCTTTCTGTCTTGGCTGCGGCTGCCTCAGGTGGGGGAGCTGGAGAAGCAGCTGGCCAGCGTGCGGCTGGGAGAGGAGGACAGCTACGACCAGGTGGGGCATCTGTCCCGCTGATGTACCGCTGACGTACCGCTTCAGTACCCCCTGCCGCCTGCCTCGCCACCTGTGTGCCGCTGCCTGCCTCCCTGCCTCCCTCGCCCACCCGCCCCCAGCCCCCCATTCCCCTCAACCCACTGCTCCCTCCTGCCGCCTGCCCACTGCACCGCTGTTTTCCCGTCTGCAGGTCCAGGCAGCCGAGGACCGAGCCGACTCTCTCTCACTGGAGCTGCAGTACTCTCAGGGCGAGGCGCAGCGCCTGGCGCACGAGCTGGCCCTGCTGCGGGACGCCCAGGAGAGGCACGCCAGGTGGGGACAGGGGCCGGGTTGGTGGCGGTGCGGGACGCAGCTGGCGGCGTTGCTCGGTGGGGGGAAGGCGCGGGGGGGTGTGATGGGATCGAGGTGGTAAGGAGGGGACGGCATGTGGAGGGCCAGTGAGAGGCGGCACGCCTGGCCCGGTGTGTTTGTGCACCGGCGCTGCTGACCAACCACGCTTCTCCTGTGCTGCTGCCATGCCTGCCTACCTGCTCTGACGCTGACGCTGGCTCGCCGCCTCTTGCCTGATCCTGGCGCCCTGCTGCTGCCGCCTCTGCTGTGCAGCGACTATCAGCGGGAGCTTGCAGAGGCATCCAGCCGGGCGGATGCGGCCCAGCACCAGCTGGAGGAGGCGCGGGCGCAGGCACGGCTCCGTTTCGCCCGCTTTGCTCTGCTCTGCTCTGCTCTGATTTGCTCTGATTTGCTTTGCTTTGCTTTCGTGGCATGTGTGAGCATGGGGCAGCCACAGTCCCGTCGGTGCTGCCCTTCAGTGGGGCTGCTGCCAGCCCCGCCCTGCCTCCCCCTCCGCCCAGCTGACTTCTTCCTTGCCGTGTTTTGTAGCCACACAATCCACACACACAAACACTCTCTCTCCCTCTCGCTCTCTCTCTCTGAGCCCGCCTGCAGCTGCGCCAGGAGGCGGCCGTGGCCGTCGAGCTGCGCAGCCGGGTGCTGCTGCTGGAGGAGGATGTGGAGGCATCCAAGCTGCAGCTGGTGGCGGCGGCGGCGGCCGGCGGCGCCGCGGCCGGGCTGGGCACCTCCCGGCTGGAGGCTGATCTGGCGGAGCGGCAGCGGGTGGCAGAGGGCCGCGCCGCGCAGCTGGATGCCCTGGGCAGGTGCGGCGGGGGCAGGGCGGGGCCACAGCTCTGTGGGTGGGGCCCTGGGTGCTCGCCCGGGCGCCGCCGAAGCGCAGGCGACCCCTCTGCCGCGCCGCCGTGCCTCTTTCTTTCTCTGCTGATCGCTGCCTGCCAGCTGCCGGCCGTTTCAGGGAGCTGGCCGCCTCGCCGCTGCGCCGCTCCACGCTTCTGCCTGCCCCTCGCTGCTGGCTGGCGCCCTTCGCTGCCGGCTTTTCGCTTTCGCCGTTTGTGTTGCCAGTCTGCATATCCGCAAAGGGACTTGCGACACAGGACCCGACACTGACCCCCTTGGCTGGCTGGCTGGCTGTGCAGAGAGCTGGCTGACACGCGGGCTGACCTGGCGGATGCGCTGGCCCAGCGGGAGCGGGCGGAGGGGCAGCTGGCGGAGGCGCGGCGCTCGCTGGCGGCCAGCGCGTCCACCGGTGGGCGGGCGGGATGCTGGCAGGAGGGCTGGGTGTCGGGGGGTCAGGCCGGCAGGGAGGCAGGGGGCGGGGAGTGGAGAAGCAGGAGCGGCTGGCCGGCGGCGGTGCTGCCGAGCTGCTGTCGAGGAATGCAGGTTGTGCCCATGCCTCACGACCGCCCGTCTCTGCCCTGCAGTTACCGGGCTTGAGGCTGTGCTTGCGGCGCGCGAGGCCCAGCTGGCGCAGGCGCAGGAGGCGCAGCGGAGCAGCCTGGCGCTGGTGTCGGCGCGCGGGCGCGGCAGCAGCGCGGAGGAGGGCGAGGGCGGCGGCGGGGCCGGCGAGCTGAGGGGGCTGCTGGAGGCGGAGCGAGGAGCCCACGCCGCTGAGCTGGCACGCCTGTCCACGCAGGTGAGAGCCCTTGGATGGGTTGCACGCTGAAAATGTGCGGCGGCCGGCCTTCAGCGTGCGCGTGCTGCGCTGTGGGCTGTGCCGGCCTTGTGGCAGGCTCCACGCTGCGCTCATGTCGCCCGTTTCCCCTGCTGCCACCCCGCCCCCGACCTCCTGCCCTGCCTCCCACCCACGCATGCCTTCCACTGGCCACGCAGCTGGGCGAGGCGCAGCAGCTGGCGCAGTACAGTGCGGGGGAGATGGCGGGGCTGGTGCAGCAGCTGGCGGAGGCGCAGGGCGAGCGCAGCGAGGTGGCGGCCAAGCTGGCAGAGTCGCGGGAGGAGGTGGCGCGCCTGCGGGCAGGTGTGTGTGTGTGTGTGGTGTGTAGGGTGTGTGGGGGTGGCGTGTGGAGGGGGGGATGGGGTCAAGGGCTCCGTGTGGGTGGGCATGTGCTGCCTCGCCGCCGCTCTGCCCGCCCCGCTGCGCTTGCACTCGCGGCGTTCCTGGCTTGCCTCTCGCCTCCTCGCCGCCTCCCCGCGCTGCCTCCTCGTCCGACCCCTGGTACCGCCTGGCACCGCCTGGTACCGCGCCCGTGCGCAGGCCCCGACGGCGAGCTGCGCAGCCGCATCGAGCGGCTGGAGAAGGATCTGGTGATTCAGCGCAACAGGGCCGAGGTGAACGCGCTGTTCAAGGAGGAGCACGACAGGTGGGCGGGGGGCTGGTGAGGTTGGTGGTGGTGGTGGTGGTGTGTGTGTGTGTGTGTGTGTGTGTGTGGGGGGGGGGGGGGGGGGGCCGTGGGGTTTTTTCTTTTTTTTTGCC